TTTACGAAACTGTTATTTATGTATTTTGTTAAAGTAGACACCTTCGGCAGTTCGCGACATTTTTCGTGCTGGTTGAGTAGACTCGGCCGGTGCCTACGTTTATTGACCTTACCGGATGGAGACGGACAGTCGAAAGCGTAGACACGTGTTTGCGAACTAGAGACGTCGGGAGTAACCAGTACACGCGCCAAACACACACACACTCCTCCCCGCAGACATTCTCCCTCACGCAGTGCTTCCGTTCCTCCCGCTCCGCAAAACAGACCACCACACTAGAAACGTTCTAGACAGGATCCGCGCTTGAGGCTCGACAAAGAGCGTTCTTACCTGTATGGGGTGGAAATTCATTTACGTGAACGAATTACCAAGACGACGGCACAAGCTCTACACCCGACCAATAGATGGGACTGGTTTCTAAAACTTCAGTGGATTTCTATTAACCCCCGATTAATAACTGACTGTCACTCAATTAAAAAAAGGAAAAAAAAACGAATACTAAACATAATAGTAACAATGCCAAGTATAACACCAATACGACAAATGTGACATAGAGAATCAGGTTGACAGTGAGTGTAATAGGAAACATGTAGTAAAAAACTTAAGTTCAAACCCCTACTATAAAACTACTATCAGGGATCAGAGCAGTCATAACACGATTGGTAGGAGAGTCTTCTACGAAAACTTCTCTACTTCGTCCATTGAGACACACCGGTCTCGATCAGAATCACGTAAACCGTGAGAAAAACATTACTCCTATCTAAAACACCGGTTTATATCCTACAACACGGTTTTTATACGTACTAGATGTCTAAAAAATTTAATGTGCTTCGATCGGGTCCCTCGTGCGTGTCTACGTAAAACGATCGCCTCATGTCAATCCAACGTAACTATTCATGGGCAGTAAAGCAAAAACAGATTAAAGACGTTCCAATTCTAACGGTTTTTTTTTCGGTACGCTTAGGACAAACCAGTTACACAAATATTCTTTTGCTGTTACACCTCTTAATACAAGTTAGATCGATCTGTCACCCAGTCTCGAGTCTACTACGGTCAGAGGACACGAGACAACCCGACGAGAAACTTTTTGACGGTTTCTTAGGAGTGCTGTCGGCCTAGCGTAGCAGGCATCGGAAATTCTGTAGAGGTCTCGACGACACAGTAGTAAGAAAGTGAAGTCACAGACTTTGACAGAGACTACAACAATTCAATCTAGCGCGTCCGCACACCTACCCAAGACCCCTCTCCTCCTGACGTCCACCGTCTCTCGCGTCCCCCAGGGCATCCGCTGCCGTCGCTCCGCCTTGCTCGTCCAATGACGTAGCTTTACGACGCTGCGCACGTTTCTCCAACTTACGCTCTCGGCACCCTCGACCATCTCGCCCCCTCGCTCTACACCCGTTCAGCCTTACACCCACCTATAGTACATTTTCAGTCACATTTCTCGGCCACACGCGGGAACACGCTCCAACACTCCTTCGCGCTCGCTCCTCTGCCACTCCCACGCCGCTCACTCTCGCGCTCACACGCAACACACCACTCGCGCGCGCTTCTCAATAACACGACGTGTTCATACTAGGGTCCCGTCTGTGTTTCACCTGGTTCAACAAATTTACTTCCTTAAGTGTTACTGACATCGTCGTGGTGAACGCCACCCACTACATTCCAGTTTAAGTGTATCGCTCCTTAATTAATGAATCACTGTTCCATAAGGGTCTTACAATAAAAGTCGTGCTCTACATTTATATGTTTATTTCATATAGTGTCTCACCTTAACACTGTGATAAGAGCAGCTCCATAGTCTTAACAAGAAGTAGTCTGCCACTCCTTGCGTCTAACTGTCACTAAAGTCCCAATTGCTATGTGTAAATAGGAGTACACAAATTAATCCCCTCAACATCTGAGAAGAGTTCAACTTACCTACTTACAATGTGGCGACAGAAAAAAGAGAGAGACGGTCCAGCAAGCTTAGTAATGTTCTTTAGGATATGTCATCAACCAGTAATACAAAGAAAAGACCTCGGATCTCAAAGTCCCGACAGATCGTCATCAAGCTCTCAGAACGTCGCTTTCACTGTTTGTGCGTAGACGCTCGTCCCCCGTCACGCCCTCGCGCTACCCACTCTCACTCCTCACCTCTCCTCTACTCTATTCGAACCGGCATTTCCAGCTCGTATCTACCTCTCTTACGCTCCCCTCACACTCACACACATCACCACTACCGCACAGACCGCTACCATACATCAACAATGGATTTTAAGCCTCCTCCCACTACCATAATACCATCTTGCTAGTGACACTTCGGCTTACCGCATGAAATCTCCACGCCATCCGGACCTCTCAGCACTGGCTACACGTTCCTCTCTCATCACACTCTCTCGCGGCACACACCCCCTCTCACTCGCACTCCAAGACGCTCCCATCTCTCAACCAGTCACTCCGCTTCACCAATGACTAGAAGCTAGATTCAGTGGTCTGTTCATCTTGTTTGTGCTCAGACGACATTCCGATCTTCTGGTGTCCGTCTTGTTAATATACCACCAAACGCTACAACCAAATAACTTGTGTCGCGTACACTCTTGTAAGGTGTCACACGTGCCCCACCTTTTCGTTCATCACACTTGCGCAACCTAAATTATTGACTACCCTGCCGCGCGCAAGGCAAACGCCTCGTCTCATCGGCGTCTGGGTCTTGCCAACCACGGCATATCACACGTATAGTCTTGCCGACGTGTTGCCCCCAGTCCTCTTCAAAACCCTGGTAACCGGACGAAACCGTTCTTCGACCAAAGTCCAAGTCGTTAACTAAGCACACCCTACAGACCCACCACTTACCGAGAGCACTCCAGTCAGCGGTCGCTCCGTAGAGTGTAACCCCAACTCCCAGTCCTGACGACTGACCGGTGAGCTCCTTCCGCCACTCCACACACACACACGCACACACTCGGCTACCCACGCACCACACACTCACATGAAGACCACGACCAACCCACCCCGCACCACAGCGACAACGTAGTGGGTCAGACACCACACACTATTGCTATCGGGATGTTAAGAGCATTCCATGGAATATAACAAAAAGTGTTTCTGAAATGAATTACATACCCCACCTTTAAATGAGAATAAATTAATAGATTTAAATAGTATGTTTCGGCTAGCCCTTTTCAGCAGACAACAGGTCAGCACCACAGCTGTAGAAACAAAGGTACAATAACACAGGTGTGTATGATGTGACTCCCACGAAGCCATGACCCTTCTGGTGGAGAAAGGTGAGATAGATGCACATTATATCCAGAGGGATAATACAGAGGTGGAGCTTTTAGCCTTCACAGCTACATGATATTAGAAGAGAAGATCTTGTGAGCTCAGGTCAGTGCGCATCATCAGGGCAGGGTGACCTTTTTTCCATTTGAGATGGAAAACCCATCTGCTGCAGTATTCTACATCATTTCCTCTGACTCGAATTCACTGAAATGTAATTCAATATTCAAGAGTTTGATCCTTTTGCGTTGGAAAGGAGGCTTTGGGCCAGTAGGGCAGGATGTTTTCCACAAGATCAGAGGTTGAAGTTGTTATTGGAAAGAAGAAATGCTTCTATGAGAAAGAGATTTAAGCGTCTTTAAGCATTAGGAAAAGCGCTATAGAAATCCCATGTATTATTATTATTATTATATTGGTCCCAAGGGAAATAAAATAGTGGCAGCAGCAAATAATGTCAACAAGTAGAGGTAATGCGAACAGATACAACAAAAACAGATACAATTTAAAACCTACGAAACCTCAGTAGTACGTCTGTGTTTGAGGGCCAAACTTGTTCACCATTGAAGAATTTGCTGACAAAGCTTGAAGAAAGCCAGCTGGTCCATGTATTAAAACAAAGCCAGTAATTAAGATGTTGTAAATTTCAAATTTGGCCCCACCAGAGAGGAAGAACGATGATTAACCTTGAATCCCTGAGTCATTCCAAATGAACCCAGGGATGTTGATGAATAACTGTTTGTAATTTCAATCTTGACGATGGCTGTTAAAAACATAATAACTCTTACACCAAGTAAAGAGGATATTACTGTGAACGCTTTCCAAGTGGACAGCTTGGCTCTAAGCCAGGTTCAGGGCACAGCATGTACAGAATTGCTATGAGCGACGCCGAGATTTTGCAATTGAGATCAGTTGAAGGATATATTAACAGGGGAGCAGTGAACAGATGTGGAGGCAACTGACAGTTATTCTTGCAGTTATTAAGTATGGGAGCCCAACTGCCACTGGGAAAATAACCTTCACATGAGGGGAAGTGCCCCTCAGTGGCACATTATGGGGGATAATGTCCATTCCAGAGAGGGTGTTTGTTGGTACACCATTTCCTGTTTTTAAATGAGAGTTTTTTGATATAAAGAGTGTCATTAAAGGAGCTAGTAAAACAAAATTTCAACCTCCTCATAAATAAATGCAGGATTCCATGTTAGAAGAATAAACCTAAAGTTACACCATGATTGGTGATTGACAACCCAGTCAAAAAGTCCTTTCAAGCCATGCATGAATTTGAGTAAATGCAAAATAAATGCCATGTATTTGATGATTCTCTTGATGAGTCTCAGGAAGTTGCATACAGTGTCTGTGGCATTTCAGATGCAACCCGCAGATCCTCCCTTCATTGTATCACCTTTATACAGCTGTTACAACTAAAGCATAATATCTCTGGTGCTACCAACTTGTTTGTTTCCTCAACAAATGCCTCAGCATAAAGCTGAGTGTGAGCAATATTTGTTTTGCCCGTTTGTTTTTTTAGGCATTTTTGCTGATCAAATCTCTTCTGAAGAGCACTGTAGAGAAAAAAATTAGTTTTTCATTTCCCATTATAGGGCAGAATAATTGGCCACCAACCAATAAGTCTGTCAGTTTTCAAGTTCATCAGGACAATGTGGAGATTTAAATGCAGTGTCTCTTCTTGCCATTTTAAGTCGTTTTAGCTTTGCCCTATTTCTTTTGGTTTCAGCTAAATGCTCTTGGAAATAAATCAGGACTTCGTCAGTGATCAATTGAGATGGATATTAGAGGAGACGGAGCAGGAATGTTAGCCCTTTTTGGCAGTCGAGGCATGCGAGTGCATGGCAGTTCTGCCTCTCCAATCATCTGTGGAGAGTTGTCAGAGCCTGGACGGCCATGGTGGGCAGTGTTATTAAGCAGGATGAATGACTAAACAGTCTCTGCAGCTTCATTCAGCCGTCTCATTACAGTCAACGATGAGAGACTGCTTTTTCTCGGGGAGCCATTGGAACAACCATTACTGATGCCCCCACAGTCATTGTCACTGAGCCCAGCAGGCCCGGCTATATCCATCACAAGACTTACCTGAGTTATCACGCTGTGTCCATACTTATCTATGACTATCACAATTCCTAACCCCTCGAGTGTTTCTGGACTTAACTAGCTCATTTGTACATCCTGTTTTTTAAAGACCCATATTTCTTGGCATGTCCTTAAGAGCATTGCAAGCTCTGAAAATAACTTTGGTGGAAGCTAATTCATTTTTCACTGATCATCCCCGTAATCAGGCAGTCATGGTGATTGGTCATTATTGAGTGAAATGTGAACAACTTTATCTCCATCCACTTCTGTAGACTCGATAGCTAATTTGTGGCAGCCTTACGGGGACAATATTACTTTGAAGCCTATTCAAATCAACACATAACAATGTGCCAAGGTTTTTGTTGCCAAAAACAGGTGTACAGGTGTTTGTCTTGTATTACATTTAGCCAAAGATTTAATCCCTGCAGCTCATATTTTAATAAAATTTGAGCTCACTTAATGAATTGGCACTTGATTTGATTAAGCACGGACCAGCTGTGGAAGACAGCTCCCCGTTTCAGCACTTCAGGAAAACTACAGATGAGCATTGAAGCCAGCAGACAAAACCTGTGTCCCAAATCCCTCAGACATGGGAGATAAATAGCAACATAATGGGTACAACTGTGCCAAATATGATTCTCAAGACTGACTGCTTCTTTATTAACACTGGCAGACGGAATTCTGTGTTTTGCTCAACTCCTTGTACAGAGGCTATTTAAATGATAACATGTGAAGATAATGCACCTTCAGCTGTACAGTACTGTTGCAAATGCTATTATAGAAAGCTAGGTTTGGAATGAATCTCAGTGAAAGACACGTTTGGATGATTATTTCTTTCTTTTTGAAATGTTCAGCCTATATCTGAGGAATTCCAAAACGGTGAAGGCTTTGGGTATATCGTTGCATTTCGTGCCAACGGAACTAGAGGATGGAAGGAGAGGATGGTGACTTCAGCCGACTCTACAACGTACAAATATAGAGATGAGACCTTCCCTCCCCTTACCCCATTTGAAGTGAAGGTCGGAGTTTACAACAATAAGGGAGATGGGCCGTTCAGCAAAGAGGTCATCATCCGTTCCGCAGAGGGGGGTGAGTTAACATTTGTTGTTGCATTGTTTTTAGATAAACAGAAGAAGTTTTTTAGAATTATATTAATATTACCATTTGTACTGGTTTCACAGAGCCAAGGGAAGCACCATCTGATGTGAAAGCTTACAGCTTTTCTTCATCGGAAATTAGGGTCACGTGGAAACCGCCCAATCCTGGCCCAGGAAGACCAAGAGGATATGAGGTGCTTGTAAATTGTGTGCTCGGGGGAAGTTGTGCACATGTGTAAATATACATGCAGTTTATCATTTTTATTTTACGTCTATACATTTTAGCATGAGTTGAAGTTTGGAAGCAGTTTTGAGTTTTTCTGTCTGTAGCTATGTGTTTCGGTCAATTCCACTGTCTGTCTTGGCTAGTTCTTTTTTGAAAAACACATCCTGCCTCTCAATTGGACTTTCCTGGTTAAATAACATTAAACAATTATAATATCAATAATTTATGTTTACAGCTCAGCTACTGGAAAGATATGGAGCAGGAGGACTTGGGGAAAAAACAAAGAACTTTGAAAAACGAGACCTCCATGGTCTTGACAGGACTAGAGGGCAACAGTCTGTATCTCATCACGGTAAAAGCCTTCAACAGCATCGGCGAGGGTCCTGCCACCGCTGCTGTCACTGTCAACACCAGGAGAGCCCGTGAGTGCACCACTGACACTAATCATGCTATACTATATATGGAATACAAACTATACCTGTTAAGTTTGCTCTAAATCCCCTAGTAATTGACATAGTTGGTTGAAACTCTGTTTAAAAGTCTGTTTGAATTGAGTGTGCGTTCCTTTCTTAGCTCCTGCTCAATCTCCAACCAACCTCATGTGGATTCAAGAGGGCAACAACGTGACTTTAAACTGGGATCCAGTGAAGGCAAAGGACAATGAATCTGATGTCATCGGTTACATGGTAATGATCAAGTTCATTTCTTAACATCAAGACATACATAAACATTCATGCAAAACACCTTAGATTTTGGATCAAGCAAATAGTTCCAGAAGTATTTTCACCACTATCAATAGAAAGGCAGGATTATTTTAACCATTTTTTTTAGAAGTTATGCTTCTACATGCTTTTACTGTTAAGCTCTGAATTGTACTCCACCCATGGTTATTTCAGGTGGTGAGAATCGTATATCTGAACGGTTGCACATTTAGAACCTTTCATCCTCACAGTTGGAAACAAAATATCACACAATGGATATAAGAGTTATCTAACATTGCAAAGAGTGAATCGATTTAAACTGCTTAATATATTTCAAGGCCAATCTGAAGTGTAACCGTATCTCCAGCTTGCCGTTATCAGTAAACCTCTATGCATGCAAATAATAAATATAACAATATTGAGTTCAGTGATTGGACATTTTTAACTGCTAATTTATTTGAATTTGTCTTTAAAGAACCAAAAATGTTGCTCATCCCAACTCTTTGCAGATAATTAGCCTAGACACTAAAAAAATGTTTTGCCCATCTTACTGTTACTTTTACTGTTTAAAGGTTTTACGGCATTCACAGTATTCAAATAGTAGAAAACCAAAATGTGGAATATGTTAAGACAAAGTCAATGTAAAGTAAAGTCATCCTGAGTCAAACTCCCAGACCTAGCCTGCTGGTGTGCGTTCTAGTGCACGTGAGTCCCTGTGTGTATGTCCCACTGGCAAGCTAATGGCCACCTCTCCACACTGTGCTCCTACAGAAGTTTCCGCTGAAATGTTACGCCCACTCTCCAGTTCCCCCCCAGGTCAGCACTGTTGCCATTAATGGCACTGTTCACGCTGTTAGCAATGTTAACTCCTAGCAAAGTCAGCTGCTGCCGCAGGCTCAGCCTTCAGCCATGTAAAAAGCAGTGTGGAGGCAATCCTTCAATCACAGATTTGCTCTTAATCCATATTGAGACCCTTTAAAAGGAAAGAAAGTTTGTAAATGTACGATTTGTCTGTTAACAGAACATTAGAAGATGGCTTCTCCTTTCACCTCAGCAACACAAGCAAGCCAATTTAGCCATCTTCAGTTTAGCTAGCTAATGGGCATAGTATTTTTGTTCAGACAGGGGAATTTAGCGAAGCTTCCTGAGCTTCCGGCTCAGTCTACACCAATTACAGTGTCAGCCAGGGCAGAACAGAGCCCCAGGGAGAACAGGCAGAGGAATGGGCAGGGAATTGCCCAGAAACGTCCCGAACACAGCAAAGTGAAACAGGAAAATAAAATACAGGCAGAGGGCTCTGCAGATACAGACACACTCTTTTAGTGGGCCTCTCGTGGGAAAAATCCTACACATACTACTCACTGTGGCTTAAATATCTCATTATAGATGAACAATAATAAATGTAAACCTCAATTGGCTTTGTGTGCGTGTCCTGCAGGTGTTACTTAAACAGGAGGGCAAAGGCCACAACCAGGTGACCAGAACCATCAACCCTTCCACCATGCTCTCACTGCCCGAGGGAGGGACCTATATCATTGAGGTGCGCGCCCTCAGCGAAGGAGGAGAGGGGGCGGTCAGCTCCCAAGTTCGAATAGTCACCTCATCCGGTAAGCCGAAGCTATTCAGTTGCGTCTCAGGCACATACTAAATTAGATGACTTCTGATATCCATCTATATGCACAGCCTGTTTTCTTTTTGTAGCGATCTTACGTTCTGCCCCTAATTGAGTCGCCACAGCTGTTGTGCCAGCCAAGTTTTCCTTGGCTAATACTATTTTAATTACATCGCCCACACCAACCCTTCTAATCTTGCACAGCCAATTAACTTTCAAGCAATAGGACCAAGAGAAAGTCAGTCCTGCTTGTGACTTTACGAGCCAGCTTTACAGGGCAATGCTCACTTTCTTTTTTTCTTTTGCAAAACAAAGCATATTTCTCCCCAGAATCAGAATACCTGTATTCGTCCAACAGAGGGGAAATGTACATTGTTACAGCAGAAAAGAGCCAAAGGCAGCTTAATCTTACCTAAGAAGCATGCAAAATATTATAATAAAAAAAAGTTACACAATTTACAAAGAACACATCCTGTAACAGTCCTGAGGATTTAGCAGCCAGGTTTATATTGCACAGTTATTAACAGCATATATATATATATATAGCACATATTGCACATAGTTGGTGGTTAGCAACAAGGAGTGTTATAGTCTGTGTTGCAGCTCTTTGTGAAAATGTATAGCATTAAACATGGATGCAGTTCCAGCGTTTTTGTAAAGGGCCTCTCCTTTCATCTATATTGACTGTTCCCCTCCCTTCTCTTAGGTGTTCGAGCAAAAAGCAACCAGTGCTCGGTGCACTGCATGCCACAGAGCCTAACATGGACAGCCCTGCTCCTGGTTCTTCTGGTGCCTTTAGCTTCCTGGTGAGGCCACTGTGCCAAACTCATGTTCATGGAGGGAGCCACCAGTCCTCTGCTCCCTGGTTCCCTCTGACTGCCTGCTCGCTTTGGCCTTACCCATCCCACAGGGCCCGAGGCCTGCCAAAGGGGGTTGAGTCTGCCAGTCATCATACAGCTCTCCAGAGTTGAACCTTTTTAAGTTTCCTGTTTCTTCTGAGGCCCTGGACATTTAATTTGCACAGTTCTTTCCAGCATCACAATGCTGTTGTACTGTAGTCAGTGTGTGGAAAGATGTGTTCAATCCTTTACTTTGACATCATGTGTTCCTCTCATTGAATGGCATCTAACCAATTCCAGACGGCTCCTACAGATCTGGGGCTCTACAGAGCATGAACAATTCCTCGAAAGCTGCTGTGGTAGTAATACAGGGATCAGCCGGCCTGTTTCTTTTCATTACTTATTTGCATCAATTTATCCCTTGGCTGCCTAACAAGCAATGCAGCAGAAGCTCAGTAGAGATAAGTGCATTGTTTTCTTATTCACTCATTGAGGAGGAAAGAACGTTTTTTATGGAACCAAGAATCTTACTATTTCGAGACTTGCTTTTGTACATTGTGTTACCTTTAGAGAAAAACACAGTGGTATGTGTCAGCTATGTCAACTCTGTTTTTTGGTAGTGATAAAGCAATGCTTGGTGATACAGTTGGATGTATGGAGTTAGGAAACAGGTTCATACCTGTAGTGCTTGAACACATCAAAAGAGAAAGACAACTCTGTACGGACTCTTGGTGTCAGTACAAATAAATGTGATGTATATTTTTTAAATGGTTGTTGTTTGTATTTTCTACCCTGAGAAAAGATATATATCTGACAACAATAATAATGATTCACCTTATTGGTCAATGAACCAAGTCTTCATACACATTTTAAAGCCCATGGGGACATCTTGAAATGGTATATATTACAAGAAACTCCCTTGTCCAGTGCTGGTATAGATACATTTGGTTATCTTAGGTGCCTACAAGGCCACTAACTATGAAATAAGACGACCCAGTCAGAGTTTTGTGGGCTGCCTCGGTCAGAAGACTCTCCTCACCTTCCCTTCCATGGCATATACTGTATGTACATGCTCATTCAAATATATCACCTTCATTCTGAGTTTCTCCACCAACAGCCTGAGAACTGCCTTTGCAATTTCTGTCGCAAGCAAATCAGAGCAGTCTGGGTTTTTTGATAATTGGGCTTTAAGGTGGGAACAGACAATATTTGGAAAATGTTGCTCGATAAATAGCAAATTATTTATGGATAATATAATTTATTGATCAACTTATTGACAGATCAACCTCAGCACTAATGCACATACAATATATTCCTACAATACAAACTTACTATGCCACACTACTTCTATATTTCACCTGGAATTGTTTATATCTGGTCCATCAGACAGTTCTACACTTTGAGAAGCTTTATCTAAATGTTATATAAATTATAGTTCGATTGAATTCCACACACGTGGCATTAAAGGCCACATAGCTTTCTGTGATAAAAGAACCACTGCATCAAGAGTATCTTCCCCCTTCTCTCAGGCTACTCTCTTGCTTGTCTGCAGTAAAAGCTTATCTCTCACTGGGCAGAAATCCAAATGAATTTGCCTCAAGTGTAATTAATGTTGGAATGAAGAACTGTAGTCCTGAAAGCCGCATGCTTGGGCAGACCTTTTGCTCGCCCTGCCTCCAGCTCTCTGGAGTCTGAGAGACCTGGCTCACCTGCTCAGGTTCAGACAAGGGTAGTAGCTCAACCACAAGAGATGTGACCACACGGCAAAACTAGAGGACACAAACTGCTCCGAGCAGTGTCTGTCCCATGGATACTCCTCTTTTTTCATACCTCTCTGTTTTGAATACGTTCAGAGGGGGAGGATGGTTAGCGTGGTCTCCTCTTTCTAACTTGTACATCATATCCGTCTGTAGTGCAAAGCACTAAGCTGTTTAATGTGGATGGAGGGGTTTGCAGTGCTTTTAGCCTGTTCAATGACGTCGGCTCAAACACATACCTACACACAAGTGCTAATGTACCGACCTTTAATTATTCATGCAGCACCTGTCTGTGTTGGCGCATCTGATTTATGATAATGGATTATGTATCCTGCAAGGGGACCTATTTGGTTCAGAGAGCCAGAAGCTATAGTGTCAGCAATTAAAATATGAACTCCCCCTAGGTTAATGTCAGAGAGTGTGTGTGTGTGTGTGTGTGTGTGTGTGCACTTGAGTGTGTGCTGGGATATACTGTACATTTTAGTTATCTCTAATATTATTTTAGATCCTTTTTAGTGGGGCTGGAAACAACAATAATTTGTTGGTTAATCTGTCAAAAAAAGATTCTCGGCTCTAATTTAGTATCTGATGTATTCTGCTTACGATCAACAACGTGTCAGTTTTACCCTACTTAAAATAACTACACACTTGTGGAAGAAGTAGCTATTAGCATTGAAATATTCTGTGTTTTACAGACTGTCTGTCTCTGTTTCACATTAATGTATGAATACCTGTGTTTTCGAAGGGGAAAGAGTCAGAGCATCTAAGCTTTTGGCTTAAGGAGTCTCACTACACTTGAATGTAATAAATCTCTATCCTAGATAGTGTTGGCAACACATATTCTGATAGCAACCCTGAAGCTGAGGGATTCATCATATCTGCTCCAAGGACACTCTGGAGGACAGCAGGACGAAGGCTAGCTCTAAGGACAGCAGGGATTGCAATTTGAAGGACAACTTAATTTATTATCTAATGTAGTTGCAATAAATATTATATTTTGTAATTACATATCGAGAGAGATGGTATAAAACATGGTATGTCAAGTGTCTGTCCTGTGGTTCCTACACCAAATGGAAATATGATATCCCAGTAAGTATACTACATCCATTTATAAGTGTTCTTTAGCCTTTTAAAACTTCCAAGTCAAGTTTTAAATTGTTTCACTGGTATTGTTGTTGAAGGATTCGCTCTGTGATTGAGTGCTGAGCCGTGACTTTGCTTTTCAGGCGGGTCACAGTTTATTACTCATCCTGGAATTGCCAGAAGAACTAGAGCCCTCCAACAGGCGCTGCGGCTTCAGTTGGAGGTAAACTGTAGCATCAGACAGTGAGTCATTTTCAGTTTTGCATTTGAAAAATGTTTGCACACCAACTGAGTTGCATTTACCAAAATGTATAATAGGTTTTAAATTATTCAAAAGTTAATACTGTTAAGGAAACTATTGAGATGTAGCCAGCGATTTGTTGACCATATAAAGAGTATTGGAGTCAAAACGTTTTTCTAGAAGATTGAGGTGCATTATTGTTGTGCGTCTGTATGCTCCAGCTCTTAAGAAATTTCTCTTTTGTTTAGGACCACTCACTGGTTAATTAAAACCCTAATAATGTTTTCACCCTAATTCAATTTTGTCTTTAATATTCTCAATACGCTTTAATTAACTGTTCTCAATTCATATATTTCTACCAATATATGTATGGTTAATAGTCTTATTGATTTAATTAAAAGCGTGTGTGATGTGGAACCTTCTCTGGTAATGAAACATTCCCCAGATGAGATTTCTAAGCTGTTAAATGATATATCATCTGAGTTATTTCCTGTTTTAGCTGTGAAACAAAACATTCTATGTTTTCTGTTAAATATAAAAATATAACAGCTTATTTTTGTGTTCTGTCGGATGTTCCTGTGATGTTTGGATTTTCAGCCCATTGGTCTCCGCCCAGCAGTGGTGGAGATGGCAGAGAATGAGAATTAGGGAAGTGTGCCATGTTCTGCTGAAGACTGTAAACAGAGGGATTAAAGGAGCAGCTTTGCGGGGAGAGTCAACATTCAGTATTGTATTGCACCAGTCCAGTAATTATTGAAGTTATAATTGAACTTGTCTTTTGACCTCTAAAACCATCTGTACTGTCAGGAAGCCACAGAGCACAATGTGTTGTGCTGTTGAGCTTTGCAGGACATAACATAAAGGCCTTTTTGTGTTTGTTCAAAGTATCCTCATTGAACCATCCACAATGTATTCATCAGACTGTCATGCTCCCTTTTTGCTCCACTGGTTCCCAGACAATGATATCGGTTAGCTGGACGGTCCAGCCAATACTTTGGTCAATAGTTCACTGTGACTTTGTTAAAATAACAATGACTGTCAACTTGGCTGAAAAAACGACAAACAAAACAATGGCTTATCGCCTTGCAACCCTATTTGATTCATTTGAAAGAAAAAAATATATCATATTTGGTTCTAATAAGATGCTAAAGTACATTTACATGCAAGGATGGTTTTATTAGAGCCAGGAACAAATTAAAAACACAGTCTTAATCAAACAAACACTGTTAAAAGCTTAACCAAACATACTAAGAACTTAAGAACTTGGTTTAATGTTTTTAAAAAACAAATTGTCGCCTGAGCAGTGGCGAGCCGTGACTTTTATACCTAGGCCCTCTGACCCCCCCATTCCCTAAAAAAAAAAGAAGGGTTAGTACTGTCACATTATTGCCACAGCGTATACTTCAGCGGAATATCAAAACAACACGCATCAATGACAGCGACCCTCTACCACACAAAACAACATCATTTATATAAACACCTATCATGACAGGGCACCCACAGCCAAGTAACAATTACAAATGAATTAAGTCGGCACGGCGGCCCACAGTGAAAATGACTTAGGCCTACCTCTGATGATCAAATCACTTAAACACCAAGTCCAAAGTCCATCCTCCTTTTGGATGAAGCACTTGATGGCGGGTCATTCAGCTGATCCTTTGTCACTCCAATGTATCATTGTAACTCAATCTTGAAAATGACTGTTAATAATTTTGCAACGATGTCATCACTATCACTGAAGTGAGCCATCATGAACGAACTTATGCTAATCATAAATCTATTGATCATGATAAATCTATCGATTAGATTGATGATTCGAAAATAATAAAAGTAGGGTAGACATCTGGATATTATCCGGCTGAACAAAACGTGCATTTATCTAACAGGTTAGTTTTCCACAGACCTTAGTTCGAGCTATTGGAAAATAGCTCGAACTAAGGTCTGTGGAAAACTAACCTGTTAGATAAATGCACGTTTTGTTCAGCCGGATAATATCCAGATGTCTACCCTACTTTTATTATTTNGGTTGTGTGATGGTTGTGTGATGGTTGTGTGATGGTTGTGTGAAGGTTGTGTGAAGGTTGTGTGATGGCTGTGTGATGGCTGTGTGAAGGTTGTGTGAAGGTTGTGTGAAGGTTGTGTGAAGGTTGTGTGATGGTTGTGTGAAGGTTGTGTGAAGGTTGTGTGATGGTTGTGTGAAGGTTGTGTGAAGGTTGTGTGAAGGTTGTGTGATGGTTGTGTGAAGGTTGTGTGAAGGTTGTGTGAAGGTTGTGTGATGGCTGTGTGAAGGTTGTGTGAAGGTTGTGTGAAGGTTGTGTGATGGTTGTGTGAAGGTTATGTGATGGCTGTGTGAAGCCGCCAGGTCTCTGTTTGCAGTCACAATCTGTTAGAAAACGTTACAACTGTACCTTTCCTAATCACTTCAGATGAAGTTGCCTTCTGGTGCTAGAGGTATGTTTCTGTTCTGTTATTCGTACGGAGGCCGACAATTAAGATGTTTCTTCGTGTGTTTTTATATCTGCATCCTTTCTGACGCTGCAGTGTTTGCACCCGTCGGCCTCCGTGTAGCCGGGACCAAAGGACCATCCAGAGTGCTGTGTGTACGCGCAGGGTCAGGGGGTCAGGGGGTCAGGGCCGCTGTAGAGCCAGAGTAGGGGGTAACATTTAAGAAATTCCGGCCCAAATTT